AGGGTTTAGGGAAGTATGGGCCCCTACTATGGACCCTTAGGCCTTTCTAGGGACCCTTCAGGGTACACAAAAGGGTATATAGTAGGCGTATAAGGATCCCAGGGTCAGGGGCGAATACTAGGGGCCCATGGAATCAACCTGAGATCTGCACACGATTTGGGGCCTCAGGGTGTTAGGGGTGTACGCTTAGGGCTTTAGGGTGTTAGGGCCTATAGGGTTTATGTAGGGTGTAGGGTGTAGGGTTTAGGGTTTTTGAGGGTGTAGGGTTTAGGGTTTATATAGGGTTCAGGGTTTAGGGTTTAGGGTGTTAGGGTTTATATAGGGTATGGGGGTTTAGGGTGTTAGGGTTTATATAGGGTTTGGGGCTTTAGGGTGTTAGGGTTTATATCGGGTTCAGGGTTTAGGGTTCCGGGGTTTAGGGTGTTAGGGTGTTAGGGTGTTAGGGTTTATATAGGGTGTGGGGGTTTAGGTTTAGGGTTTATATAGGGTTTAGGGTTGAGGGTTTAGGGTTTATATAGGGTGTGGGGGTTTAGGTTTAGGGCTTCAGGGCTTTAGGGCTTCAGGGTGTAGGGGTTTAGGCTTGGGGCTTCAGGGCTTTAGGGCTTTAATGTTTAGGGTATGAGGGTTTCAGGGTCTGGGGATGCAGGGTTTAAAAAAGGGTTTCTGGTATCGGTTGTATACAGTTTTGCGGAGTGTTGGGAGGGTTCCAAACGGGTTCTTCAAGTGAGGGCTCTTATGAGGGTGTTGCAGGGCTTTGCCTGAGCAGGTTCAGGGCTTGCGTGTCCTGTCGCCAGCTACCCCAGATCCTGCAGATTTCTGGCCGTGGAGAGGTGCGGTACTTGGAGGCCCAGGGGACTTAGTAAGTAGGTTATAAGTAGAGTTATAAGTACCCTAACTGGAGTTACCCCAATTATAACCCTACTTATAACCGTTTTACTAAGTCCCATGGGCCTCCAAGTAGGTAGCTTCGATCGGCCTCATTGCCACAATTCAAGGCTATGCCTGTGCAGCCCGAAACCCTGGAACGCCCAAGCCCACGAACACCCCCGACACCCTAAACCCTAAACTTAAACCCTAAACCCTATTAAACCCTAAACCCCAGACTTAAACCTTCAACCCTATTAAACCCTAAACACTAAACTTAAACCTTAAACCTTCAACTCTAATTAAACCCTAAACCCTAAACTTAAACCCGAAACCCTAATTCTACCCTGAACCCTAAACTTCAACCCTAAATCCTAAACTTCAACCCTAAACCCTCGTCGATCCCCTATTTGGAGCCTTGTCCTCAGCTTCACAGCGGACGGCAAGGCCAGCCAGTGCGGCACCGGCACCGGCAGCAGCTGCAGCTTGTGCGCCCAGGCGCCTCAGGGAAGCGGGTTTAGGGTTTAGGGTAGGGGCTTGGGGTTTAGGGGTTTAGGGTTAGGGGTTTAGGGTTTAGGGGTTTAGGGTTTAGGGTTTAGGGGAGTGTCAGATTTTCAGACCTATCTTCAGTCACTATAGTCTCCATTGTAGTTCCTTTTCTTGGTTTAGCCAACTACAGATTAAGGATTTTATAAGGTATCCCCAAAACGGAACTACAATGGAGACTATAGGTAGCTCATATTGTGAGTTAATGTAGGGGCTTTCATAATTACCTATACCATGTTGCTGGGATCCTTGTTATAATCATCGTATAGTGGGCCCCAGACCCTGTTCTAATGACTAAGGCCCCTACATTACCAGGATAATTAGGGATCTATAGTAACTAGTAAATAACAGGGCTTCCATATTTTGATGCAAAACTCAATAGAGTACTGTTAACTATCAGATGATCTTCTTGTGCCGCCAGGTTCTTAGTTGGCATCCGACCATCCTCCCGAAAAGAAGCCATGCTTTGAAGGGTAGGGTTTAGGTTGTCTGGAGGCCGATAACCAGGGGGTTTATTGCTGAATTGCTACATACAGCCTCTGCGAGCAAAGAAGTAGCCCCAAACCAAAGCCTCTGCAAGAAAGCCTCAACCCTGCGACCTGAACCCCTAAACCCTAGATGCCGAAATCAACTACCGATTCTTATCGGGCCTTCACCTGACTACGTCAGAGTCTTTGGTTCTGGTCGGAAACCACCTTTCATCCCAAAAGATCACTTCCAGGATTCCAGGGTTGATACGGCTTGTTGGGTCATTATCACCCTAATCCCGACACCGTAAATCCAGTGTCGAAGCCCTCTATAGCATCTCGCATAGGAGACCCGAATTGCAAAACCCCTGAACTTCTCTCTTCCCGAAAGCCTCGGCCTCGGCCCTCCTCGACAGCAGTCAATCTCTGCTGCTGCTACGTGCATGTTAGTAGCATGACTGCTCTTATCAGAAGTCGTCTTTCAGCATGAACGCGACTTAGTAAGTGGGTCATAAGTAGACTTATAAGTACCCTAGTGGGGATCCTAATTGGGGTTATCAGACTTATAACTGTATAAAGTAACTACTTGCTAAGTCCCCCAACCCTCCAAGTACTATACTAGTGAGACCTAGGCACCGGCGAGGCAATGCACGGAGCCAGCTGCTCCACGCCATGGCTCGACAGGACCAGAATTGTCTCTACAAGAAATAGCCGCAGTTGTTGTGTAATGTAGGAACCTGATTAAGAAACCCTGGGTGTTTATAAGTGTGCTTTATATATATATATATACACGTACATATATGGCTCCATACGTGGCATGACAATTGGCTCTTTCCTGCTATATGTAAATGAAACAGCAAACGTACACCTGCATAGAAAACATATCTGTAAATAAATGTACAACATGCATGCATGTATCTGAATATGTGTAGTAGACAGATGCTACACAGTAAACATCATATGATGGAGCACAATCTATTCGGCTCCTCCTGCAAGCAGTGCACTTTAAATCTTGCCGAGCGCTTCTATCCTACCGCTGAAACAGCTGCTGGCATTCTGAGAGGTGGGGGCGATTGAGGGAAAATAAGATTCCTGTTTCAGGATGCTTTAATATGCGGATCGTACGATTTCGGGCGTTTTTGAGGGTCCACATTCTCCGAA